TCCCCTGTCCCCAGTGTCCTCTGGCTCTGGAACGTGCCCTGGATGGCCACAGCCTCACTCCACCCTTCCCAGCCCGCCCAGACTGCTCTCCTCTTTCCTCCCCACGTTCCAGCCACTCCCTCACGCCCTTCTCCCTTCTCCGTGCAGCGGCAGCCCGGACCTCAGACCTCGGTAGAAGCCTCCAGTGAACATCCACCATCCACAGCCTGAGCCTAGGAGCTGCCAGCCCAACTCTATTGTAATTTAAATGGTCGTGTCTGCACCTCCCTCTCCCAGACCCTGTATATAGTCCTGCATGGCTCCAGGTGGGGCCAGACCCTCTACTCTTGTAAATAAAGACCCCAGGATCACTGTGTGTGGGTCTCTAACTCTGTGCTACCGGGTGGGAAGGGCTGAAGGGGGTGGAGGGACAGGTGAGCAGGAAGAGGCGTGCGTATGGGTGCGTGGGGGGAGGGGTGGCGAATAAAAGTTCCATCTTCGCAGTCAGACAAACCTGGCTCTGGACTCTGCTTACCACACTAAGACTGTGGCTCTGGGCCGGGTTCCTCAGCCCGTGTCCTGGAACGTGGAGGATGAGCCTGACAGGCGGCTGTGAAGATCGCCGAGATGAGGCACCAAGACTGCAAAGGCAACGATAATTCACAACACGTGTGCCATGTGTCGGGCACTGTTGTTTGCTTTTTAATTTTATTTCTTAAAATAAAGATTTTTTGAAGATTTTATTTATTTCTTTGATTTTAGAGAGAGGGAAAAGGAAAGAGAGAGGGAGAGAAACGTCAGTGTGTGGTTGCTTCTTGCACACCCCCTACTGGGGACCTAGCCCACAACCCCAGCACATGCCCTGACTGGGAATCAACCTGCTGACCCCTTTGTTCACAGGCCTGTGCTCAATCCACTGAGCCACACCAGTCAGGACGTGTGTGTGTGTGTGTGTTTTAAAAATAAGAGTTTATTTGAGCCAAACTGACCACATATACCAGGGAGCAAGATCTCAAATGCTCCTGTCAGGTATTGTTTAAAAGACTACACCTATTCATTCAGTCTAGATAGCTACCATTCCCATTTTACAGTGGGGGCAACTGAGGCACAGACTCAATATCTTGCTCAAGTCACAGGACAACTGAGCAGGGGAGCTAAGATTTTAACAGGCTGTCTGGCCTCAGAGCCCACGGCCCTGGAGATGCAGCTGTGGTCACCTGAGTGGGACACAGCCACACAGCCCTGGTGCTGACTTCTGGGTCCGAGAGCTGAGAAGACAAAGCCCAGGAAGCACAGGACCTCCCTGGTTCTTCCTTTGCTCTCTGGGCTCCTGGTCCTCACCAGAGACCCCTGTTCCTCCTTTCCTCTGGGGCTGCTGCCGCCCTTATGCTCCTGATCAGTTTTGGTTTTGTCCCCTCTTCCTTGCCCTGTGTGGGCTACCAGTGATCCCTTCTTTGTAGTAAGGCTTTATTTGAACTCCTGGGAAGTCGAGCCTGTGGGCGTCCCCCCACCTGCTGCACAGGCTCAGGCTCAGGCGCAGTTCTGAGGCGATGTTGGCTGTCCTGCGTTCAGCACACACTTTCTCTCTGGAGCATCCACCGAATCACAGGCACTGGAGTCCTGCTGGGGGCGTGATGATGAACTTAGGAGAGGAGTAGGGGAGACAGACCCAGGGACAGTCCACAAATATCAAATAAATACAGAAAGGTGTTAAGAAGGATGCAAAGAAACAAAGGAGGGAGGGAGAGAAAGAGGGAGGGAAGGAGGGGGCAGGGGTGGAGAGAGAGAGAGAGAGAGAGAGACCTCAGATTGGGTAACACAATAAGCTCCCTGGAGCTAAGGCTCTCCAGGGGGTGGGTGGGTGGGGCCATCACCTGTGGGCCTCAGGGCCCCTCTCCCAGCAACGCCCTTTCTGTCCCAGCCAGAGCTGCACAAAGGAGAGGTAGGCTCCACACCCTCTAACCGCCCTTGGGCTCGCTGCCCATGGCTGGGACTTGGACCCAGAGCCCTAAGGTGGGTTCAGAAGCAGCTCCCCGGACTTGGGTCCCTCTGGAGAACAGGGCATGTTCCACGGTCACCCCTCCCTGAAGGGCAACTGCAGGGGCTGAGCCCGTGAGGGCTGAAGGAGAGCAGCTCAGGACTTGAATCGTCTAGGTCGGCACTGGTGTTCCTGGCCAGCTCGGGCCTCTCAGCAAAGGCGGGCACCCCGACGCCAGGGCCCGCCAAGGACAGCGAGGCGCCATGCTGGGGCCTGTCTGCCCTCCACGGGCAGGGATGCCCAGCACAGGTGGGGCATCAGGCCTGGGCATAACCCGAACCTACCAAGCCAATCGCAGAGATCTCGGCTCTCCAGGTCAGAAGGCAGGGTCAGAGGCCTCAGGGGAAGAAGGCAGTTGGGGGCAGGAGTGGCTGTGGGGAGATGCCGAGGCGGAAGGCAAAAGGGCCCAAAGACAGCCCCTTTTTTTTGTCCCTCTGGAGACAGATCAGTCTCCCTGATCTAGGCCTGGGGGCAGAGGTGGCAGGTAAGTGAGAGGACACCTCTAGGAAATGGTGGGAGGCCTAAAAGGTGACTGGGAGTCAGAGGAGGCGCGTGTGCTGGCGCTGGAAGGCAAGGGGTTAAGGCAGTGGGGGGGCAGCCTATGGCAGGAGGACACACCTGTACGCAGGCAGGGGCGGCGGGCGGGGCCCAGGTGAGGAGCCTGCGCTGCCTGCCTCTGGAGGAGGAAGAAGGAAGAGTGGAGGCCAGGGCGGCGGTCGGATCCTGGGCCTGACTCCCCTTCCTCTCCTCAGCACTCGCTCTGTGAGGCAGGTGGCCTGCTGGCCTGGTCAAGGCCGTGGAAGAGGGGTCCTGAGGCTGAGCTGGGGACAGCCCGAGGGGCGATAAGGGCCCGTGAATTGGTACGTGGGGGCTGGGGCAGGCTATGCGGGTGGTGGGGGAAGGGGCTCCGAGGCAGAGGACAGGTGAGCAGGGGCTGCTGAAGCTCCGCCTGGGCCTCAGTGGGTCACCTACTCAGGGTGGAGCTGGTGGCGACTGCAGGGCTCACCCGGAAGTGTCCTCAGGGACCTGGGTGGTTGGGGGAAGGGAGCCAGGGTTCTGCAGCCTCTCCCCAGGGAGCCTGGGCCTAGGGCTGCCTGACCTGGAGGTGGGCAGGCTGGGTGGGGGCCCCCGTCTTACCCAGCAGTGTTTGGGTGCTGGTTGGGAGTCTCTAATACTGCCGGGTAAAGATGGAGGCCCCTGTCCCCGTGTCAGCGGCATCTTTTACTTCAGGCCCTCAGCAGGCCGCAGCCACTCCTCCTCCCCGTTCCCGAACCTCCCCACACACCCTGGAATCCCCTTCATCTTGAGTGGACGGTGCGGCAAGCGAAGTGGCTCTTGGTTGGCGAGTTGCCCACTGAAGGGACACAATGGTTCCGAGCCCCTCCCCCAGCCCGGAGTGATTTGTCATCTGGTGGATCCAGAACCCACAGCAGACCTTGAGCTTCGGATTGGCTCATGTACTCTCAAGAGACCTCACCTGGCCTGCGGCCAGGGTCCCTGTAGCAACTGGTCAGCTCTAGCCTGGAGCTGCATGTCGACCGGCTCTGGGTCCATCTTCCAGTACAGTGTTGGATGGTCTAATTGTGAAGCTCCTAACACTGTCTGGTAAAGATGGCCCCCGGGCCGGTTCCCTCGGCAGTGACCTTCAGGGAGCCCTGAAGACCGTGGAGGCCTTCTGACTAACAACCTCTGACCTTTACCCTGTGGCTGGGGGTGTAAATCACTAGGAAAAGGGAAACAATGGGGAAGAGACAAAATGGCTGCCTCTAGGGCCACAGCAGGATTTGAAAACATACTTGCTTTCCAGGAACCTCTACTTTTTCTGCCTTGGGAAATGACCAAAATAAAGTGTGGATGGGTACTTGTCGCAGACTTATTCAGGTTACTTGACTCATTAAAAAAAAGATTTTATTTATTTATATTTAGAGAGAGGGGGAGGGAGAGAAGCATCAATGTGTGGTTGCCTCTCATGCACCCCCAGCTAGGGACCTGGTCCACAACCCAGGCACGTGCCCTAGACTGGAAATCGAACCGGTGACCCTTTGGCTCACAGACCAGCACTCAATCCACTGAGCCACACCAGCCAGGGCCCATTTATTTATTTTTGTCTGTCGATCTCATTTTAGGCTCCCAGCTCCTGAGGAGTGGGGCTGCCCCCTCTGCCTCACCTCCCTGTCCCCTTCATGACAGTCAACCTGCAGAGCAGGGACAAGTCAACCTTCCTTCTCCAAAAGTCTAAGAAGCTGAAGATGAGCCCAGTCCCTCACCCTGTGAGACTCACCTCCTCCCCTACCACTTTGTAATTCCTATACATGCTTTTGCCCCCAGTACTCTTTCAGTTCCAAATGTCCCTTGTCTTCCTGTAAGGACAAGGGATGGGAATTGGCCTGTAGTGGCATCAGGTACAGGAGTGGCTTTGTATCTCTGGTGTTTGGGATTCAGTGGGGACCGTCTTGGGAAGATGAGGTGGCTCAAGTAGGGACCGGAAACCGGCACATTTTGTTAGGGTGGGGTGGCTGGAGCTGTGGGAGTGATGGGCTCATCTCTGTAGGCAGAGCCCTGTCTCACATTGGCTCCTTCACACCGGAGGGTTGTGAATTGGCAGTGGGGGTAGCTCACAGCAGGTAAAACCCACAGGGCCTAACCTCGATAGGCATGAGTGGTCTACCCACAGCTGCACGGAACTGTTACTAAGGAAGCAGGTCCTGCTGGGGTCATCACATTTTTGGTCTAGCTCAGCAAAGCCACAGCTGCTCCAGCCTTAAAGGGAAGATGGGGCCGAAAGTGCAGCTGGGCCTGCTGTTTCCAGCTTCGATCCTGTTTGGCTTCCAGGGTGAGCAGCAGGGCCCAGGCATAATTTTGAAAATGCTGTAGCCAGTCCGTGCGCCCCCTGCTGCCGAAGACGAGGAGAGACTCAGGAGTGTTGTGTGACTGTGCGCATGCTCACCTCCCCTAACCCAGCTCAGACACAGGAAGCCTTGAATTCTGCTTAAGTAATAAAAATTTATTGAGAATTCCTGGGCTGGTGTTCATTGCCTCCCAACCTTGAGAGAGGAGCCAACACTGTAGGAAATCACTAAGAAATCACACACTGTCCCAACAACCCTGGCTGGTACAGGAGGAGGAAAGTCATTCCCCTGAAAATGGGTCAGTCTTCATTCATCTGAGAAGGGCTAGGAAGACGATGCAGAGGGGAGCGTCACATGATACTGGGGGCGGGGTGGGGTTTGCTGGATCCCCAAGAGGATTCCTCCAATACCAGGGCAGAAACAGTCCCATTTCTTCTCTGGGGGTGGAGATCTTGGTAGTTAGGCTCACTTCTTGGCCTTGATGAGGCTGTCACTGCAGAAAGATAAAGGAGACGGGTGACATTAGGGGATATAAATGTGAGAGAAACAGCCTCTTGGCCACCCCGTTCTCCATCACCCTCCCTCCCTCCCTCCTAAGAGTGTATGGGGAGGTCAGAAAGGTTAGCTGGTGGGGGAGAAGGGAGGTCCTGAGATGAACTGCAAGACCCCCCAGAAAAAAAGGTACACCGACAACTTACCTTCCCCTGTGGACACCAGGTCACCAGGTGGACAGGAAACATAGAAAGAAGAAGACGCAGAGGTGATTTACAGTTCAGTCCCCACCCAGGTCTAAAACCCTGCCTTGCTCCCAAGGGAAAAAAGACAATTGGGGTGGAAGCCAGGCATCTCAGGCTCTGGAAAGGAAGAGCTGGTTCTCTCGGTCACGGCCACTTCTCCCCTCTCCTTTCCTAGCCCCCTTCCGCGCCTCAGAGCAGCAATGTTAGGGTCCCCGGGTGAGACCTGAATAGCACCTTTCACTGCTTTTCAGTTAAGACAAAACTTTACAATTACAGTGCTTTTCACTTGAATAATCTCCTTCTCATTAGATCGTGAGATTCAAGTCTCCTATACTATTTTATCTTTTGGTTCAGAGAGATGGTGTCTTTCAAAGGTCCTATGAGTAAGCTAGAAACAGAGCCCAAGTGACCGATGCAGATCCCATGTTCTTTGCGACACCCCGCTGTGTAGGTCACTTCTCTCACCGGGTGAAACTTTCATCCTGTAGGTTCAGCACAAGGTTGTCAGCAGTGAGATAGATACGATTCTGTGATGTGGCGATCTATAGGGCAGGAAACAAAAGACAGGTGCTTGTGTTAAGCAAAGAAGCTTAATTCCTATCCTTGCATTCAATGACCACCGATGGAACACACGGGGGTCAGGAACAGGGATCCAACAACGACAAAGATGTGGTTTGGACCCTCACACAATGATCCAGAGCAGCAAGTGACTGACCCTGTTAGCACCATAGCAGAAGTGTGAACTAAAGGTCAAGGGAACCCATGGAATTATTTCTGATGAAAAGAAATGCCAGAGAAGCCAGTCTGTGTAGAAACTAGAACGAGCATGATTTCCACGACCTCACTTCAGCATGCTTCAATAGAAAACTCTCACTCTCCACAAAACCTTGTGAGGGACACTGGGCTCTTCACACTCACCGTCTTGGAGATGTTCTGGGCCGCCCGGATCTTTCGCAGCTTGATGTAGCCTGGGTTCTTGCTTAGTGCTTCTCCAAGGTGAGCAGAGTGGGGTTAAGGGTTCACACAAGGCCATGTCTCAATCCCTGGACCCATCCTTGCTACTTCCGTCACTCCAGCCCTCCTCAGGGCTGTCAGATCCAAGGTTGCGCTCATGTGGCTCGTGCCCAGTTTTACTTTGGTTCTCACCTGTGGGCCCCCCTGCAGGCAGCTGCCAGGAACTGGAGGTAGCAGCAGGAACAGAGGCAAGGCCAGCAGTACTATTGATCTGTTTTACAGTGAGGAGCCAAGCTCAGGAACCCCACTAAGATCTCAGATCCCATTTGAAACCTCCATCCACCAGAGAGCCAAGAATCAGAGAGCACGGAATCACATTCGCCTTAGTCTCATCAGCCAGCCCGTGAGGGACAGGAACGCAATGTGCCCCAGGGGTGAGCCCAGATCTCTCCAGCAGAAGGATATCATCCTGGCAGCCTCAGCCTCACCCTCTGCTTGCACAATCTTCTGCCGCTGCTCTTGCTTTGCTTTTTCCACCAAGAACTGGGCCCGCTGGGCCTCCTGTTGTGCTGTGGTGGGACAGTCAAGAGGTCACAAATGTGAGGAACCCCAAACCCCTCCTGTACTTGTAGAAATCCCTGACTTACTTCTCTGGGAACTCACCCACTTGTTTGGCTTCTACAGCAGCCGTGTACTCTCGGCTAAAGCTTAGCTCCGTGATGGCTACATCATCCAGGATAAGGCTGAAGTCCTTGGCCCTCTCTGTCAGCTCCCTTCGGATCAACAGGGATACCTGGGAGGAGGGGTGAGGAGGGGAGGGGTGAGGAGGGGAAGGGAGAGGTGGTGAGAGGGGACTGGAGAACTGAAAGGAAGGTGTTTTTATGTGACCAGCTGAATACCAGATCTTATGGAAAAGGCAGAAAATTCACAAACTCTTTTTTAGAATCTACTGAGTTCTAGTCTTGGCTCATTTCTCACAGTGGCCATCAGTGCAGCTTTTAGGTAGAAAAAGAACTGGGGTCACAAGCTTTTTCTAATAAGCTGCCTTTCCTAATAGTCAGTGCCCCAAGCCCAATGAGGAAAATGCGGACATTATGCAGACGGTGATGGGAGCTGGGTCCAACCTGGGCTCGTTGGGTGATCAGCTGGGAGGCGTTGAACTTGGCCACCACACTCTTGAGAACCTCGTTGACAATGGATGGCAACACTCGCTCCTCGTAGTCTAGTCCTAGGCGCTGGTACATGCTGGGAAGCTCCAGGGCATTGGGTCGAGACAGCACTCGCAGGGAAATGTTCACCATCTGCAGGTCTAAGAGTGAGATCAGCAGTGGCTGGGCAAGGCCATGGAGGCCTCGTCTGGCCTCTTAGCCCAGTATCCTTCCCCAAACACCATCTCCTCCATGTGATGTCGTTCAGCCTGGAATTCCCCTGGAGGGGAGAATAATCAGGCTGACCAAAAGTGACCTGGCACAGGCCAAATGCAACCTTGTCCGTCTACTACGTTATCTTTTCTATCCACAACCTCTCTATCAGTAAAGCGAACCTCTACTGCAGGCTTTAACGTAACCACTTGTCTTCTTTACTAGACTATCAACTTGAGGATGAGGACTGTGTTTTATGTATCCTTTATTCACAGGACCTAGAATTTAGGGAATGTTAAGTGACTACACTAAAAATAGCACAAAAGAGTATATTAACAGGTGAGCTACTTGCCTTGGTGTGCACATCTGTGTGTGAAGAAGGGGTCTGGGGAATGTGAAAGGCATGACTTCCAGATCCGGTCTAGGAAGAACCAGGGGCACCGGTGTCCCCAGAACGGGGTGTACTGGTGGATATCATTAATAAGTCAAGCAGTTAAAAGAAGAAGAAAGCTTTGATCTAGGCAGTGAATGAGACAAGGAATAGAATACTCTCATTGAATTTACCTTAGAAGGTAGGAAAAGTTAAAATGCAAACACACAGTGTGTCTAGAATGTTCTACTTTAACACCAGAAGCAGGTATTTTTATTCTAGCTCTTCTGCAGATATGAAAACCAAGAGCTCTGACACAACCATCTTCCCCTAGGGGTCTTGCCAGGCTTCCTTATGAACTTTAGGTAGCCCATCTGTTGGTGGCTTTCAAGTGTCCAAACCTACCTTTGGAGCCTGTTGGGGAGGAAATTTTTCGTGGCCTGGCCCGAATGTCATAGATGATGGGATACTGGAACCAGGGAATCCTGGAGGAGAGGGAACAGATATAGTTATTGGGAGACTACAGTTTCACTAGTTTTTTCCTCATGTGTTTCTTGGCCTGTTTCTTCTCTTAATGACAACAAAGCAGGAGAAATTCTCTCCTTTTCTTTAGAGAACATTTATGTGCTACTGCAGTTCTGGCCAGCACCCACTGTCTTGGGAGATGAGGTAAGGAGTGGAAAGACCAGACCTCAATCCGTTGAACGTCCTACTACGGCCATTGGTGGGTTGGCGGCGTTCAAGGGTGAAAGGTCAGGGTCAATCCGTTCTGCCCGCCATTACCTGAAATGAAGGCCCTCGGCGAGAATGGTGTCCTGCTGCACGCCACCGATCCGATTAAAGAAGATGGCTCTGTGTCCGCCTTCCACTGTGGGGAAAGGGGTGGAGATCAGGCCAGGTCACTGCTCGGAGAGTACATGCTAGCCCCTGGTGAGGTGAGGGGCTGAGTGCACGCGGGGACCCGGCGAGACCGGAGGAGTCCGGAGAGCGGGTGGAGGTTGCTCACCGGTAAACACGGACTCGCGGACCCCGTAGGCCACGGCGCCGGCACCCAGCAGCAGCTTCAACGCTGTGCCCATGCCCCGGGGCCCGGAGGGCAGGCGTCCCGCTAAATCCTTCAAGTTCTGGGCCATATCCGATCCTGAGGCCAGCGGCACCAAAGGTCAGGAGGGGGTGCCGGCCCGCCTGTACCCCACTCCAGTTTAGAAACAGCACCCTTCACACGAGGGTCTACGGCCCAGGTGCTGGCAGGAGAAAGGGCACCGGAAGTGCGCTTCCTCCTAAACCCTCCCCCCCGCCCCCGGGTCTGTGGAGGACCCGACTTTCGCGCACAGGAATTGCGCTAAGGAAGTCCCGCCTCTCTCTGAAACCCTGCCCTTCCAGAGACACTTCGGTAGTGCCGGACAGCAAGTAAGCGCCATTTGCAAGCGCCCACTTTTAAAATGGCAGCCGGAAGTAAGTTTGCGATTAGGAAAAGCGTGTTTTCTAATTTCAGGATATTAGCACAATTTCCGGTCATAAGATGGCTGCGCCCAGTGGTGGGTTCCAACCTCGTGAACGTCGCCGTGAGGACCAGGAACAGGACTGGGATGTTGTGGAGCCCAAGCGGCCCCGATTTGGGGCGGGAAGCAAGATGGGAGGCCGTAGGCTCATTGTGGTGCTGGAAGGGGCCAGTCTGGAAACAGTCAAGGTAATGTGGGACGGGAAAGTGGAGAACTAGTAGCAGCGATAGAATGGGACCTCATGGGATGAGGGGGAGAGGCTCAGAGTGGATGGAGAAAGCCGAAAAGTGAAATATGCTCTCGGAGGAAGAGTGGCTTAGTTGACTGTCACTTGGTTCAGTGTTCTCTGTTGGCAGTAGTTTTTTTCTGACCTTCTTGAATCACATTGCAGCCGTCACATTCTTGCCTCCAGTTGGTTTACCGGAAATCTGTGGTTGATTTACCAGAAGTCATCTAACGGGAAGGGAATTTCGTTCACGGCTGTGTCCCACGTTATCCTGTTGACGAGAGAGACCTGGTTCTTCTAGCTGACGCATGTAAAGAATTACATATCAGCACATCTAGTAGCATGTCATCAGTTTATTAGTGGTCCGTTCTCATGGAAGAGAACAGGACTGGGTAGAATAGGGGGTGAAAGGCAAAGTTTCAGGGCAAAGCAGGGCGGCAAAAGCAAGAGCACCCAGCGTCCCCAAAAGAGTCCTTTGTTTTGAGGACTTACATAGTTGGTGGGATAGGAGGGAAAAAGTTACATATTGATTAACGGGTAAATGTGCCAACTTTCCTGGTGGAATGTTACTACCCAAACTTAGGTATGTGTGGGGGTCTGTTAGCCGGAATCCTTGTCTTGCTCCAGACCCCATTTGTTCATCTTGTTGTAAAACAAATACGTGACAGGAGGCAGTGAATTAAAATTGGGGCACTTATCAAAGTTATTTATCGGCTCTTTGCGTAAGCATCAGGGACACGGACTCCCTCGTAAAACAGATAGTGACCAGAGGTAGGCAATTAACCAAAGTTGTTTTATGCGCTCTTTCTTTGAGCACCGGGGACCCTCTTCTACATTCAGGCCTTGGGGCAAAAGCACAGTTTCAAGGCTTTCTTTCCCAGATAGTGGAAATGCTACATAGAATTCCAAAGACTTCCCTTCTTTCTTGCTAACATAGTGTTTCTTGTGAATGTTGGAACACCTGGAAATATTATCAGACCAGGCTCAGGACTGCTGAGTTAGCATGTGAGTCTCCTTCCTCCTCCCTGCCTCGGTGTACTATTTATTTCACCTGATTGGTAAAAGGTGTTTCCTGGCAACCAGGGTGCTAAATGCTGGCTAGTAACAGGATTGCAGTCTCAGAGTTCTTCCTATGCTGTCTCCTACCTCAATCCCAGTACAAGTTACTAGGAAAGGAGAAAAGTGGTTACTGTAGCATAGTTGGCCCATCCTTTATTTGTGGGGACTTAATGTTTTATAAAAGATGTCTATTGTCACCCTTCTATGTATTAGTAGTATCCACCTCAGATGATCATTTAATAATTTAACATTTTTATTTTTACCTATCATTTGGCTCTTTCCCGAATGATCTAGCCGTTCTGGCTCAGAACTTTGTACTGTGTTCTCATTTCCTCTGACTTTCTTCTTATCTTACCATTTGGAGCTAAATTTGTTCAATGAGTAGGCCCAGAAGAAATAGTACTGGTTTAGAAGTCAGACCTGGATTTTGATCTTGGTTCTTATTAAGCGTGGTCTTGAGAACAGTTTGTCCTCAGTTTGTAAAGCAGAGGTTAATACTTCACACAGAGAATGTAATGAAAAAGAAAAGTAGTACATTTAGAGGTAGTATATTTCCATAGTAATCTACCTTGTGATTCTTTATCATGTTTTGTTCAACCACTATGGCACTTTAATAAGCTTGCAGTTTAGAAACACCGCCCCCATCTGTTTTCATTCTCTTCCGTGGTTGATCTTTCTAACCTAATTATAGGCTCTTACAGTCATCCCTCACTTAATTGTCTGCTGTCTTTCCAGCCTGTTAATTCTGAATGTTACTTAACCACTCCATTTCTTCCTGTGTTCCTTGGGGATGATAGTAGTACCTGTGTAATTGCGTTGTTGGGAAGATTAAAGGAGTTAATCTGTGTAAAGGGTTTAGAATAATGTCTGTCACTTGGAATTAATTATTACTGTTATTGATTCCATGTTAATTACTAAGTACTGTATTTTGCTGTGTATAATACCCACTTTTGTGCCCAAGTTTTTGAGGGAAAAATAAGGATTCACATTATACATGGCATGGGTAATATTAAATCTGTAGCTATATAAATGTTTTTAATTCATTTATGCTTTTGCATCAAATAATAAAGGAGAATTTCCCCAATCTGGCAAAGGAAATAGACTTCCAGGAAATCCAGTAAGCTCAGAGAGTCCCAAAGAAGTTGGACCCAAGAAGAAACACACCAAGGCACATCATAATTACATTAGCCAAGATTAAAATGAAGGAGAGAATCCTAGAAGCAGCAAGAGATAAGGGGACGGTCATCTACAAAGGAGTTCCCATCAGACTGTCAGCGGATTTCTCAAAAGAGACCTTACAGGCAAGAAGGGGCTGGAAAGAGGTATTCCAAGTCATGAAAACCAAAGACCTACAACCAAGATTGCTCTATCCAGCAAAACTTTCATTTAGACCGGAATGACAGATAAAGTGCTTCTCACATAAGATCAAATTCAAGGAGTTCATCATCACCAAGCCCTTATTATATGAAATGTTAAAGGGACTTAGCTAAGAAAAAGAAATTAAAAAAACATGAACAGTGAAAGGACAGCAAACTCACAGTTATTAACAACTACACCTAAAATAAAAGCAAACTAAAAGGACAGCTAGATCAGGAGTGGAAACATAGAAATGAAGATCTCAAGGAGGGTTAGCAACAGGGGAGTGGGAGGAGGAGAAGGGGGGAGAAGGTACAGAAAATAAGTAGCATAGACAGTAGGTAGAAAATAGATGGGGGGTCAAGAATAGTATGGGAAATACAGAATCTAAAGAACTTGAGACACGTGGTCATAATCTAAAGGGGGGGGTAATGGTAGGGATGGGGGGTAGGGTGGAGGGGAATGAAGGGGGGAATAGAACAACTGTAATGGCATAATCAATAAAAAAATAAATTAAAAAAAAGTATAATTCTACAAAGCAATAATGATATCATTTGCAAAGTAATACCCTGAGGTATGATAATCAGTTTTGTTTATAAATATAGATAAAAAGAAAGTTAAATTAAAAAATTAAAACATTTGGTCCTGAAAGTCTGGACCCAAAACATGGGTGCACACCACACACAGGAGTGCATTATACACGGCAAAGTATGATAGTTGAGAGGGGCATGGCCATATTAAAATTCCTAGACAATGCTCTGGAAAAATTTAGGCCAAAATGTCATTAATGGTACTCCAAGGGTGACAGAATTCGTAGCTGGTTGAAATCTTCTGTATTGTTATCTTAGGCCGTCCTTGTGCTTCCTTATGTCTTGCTTTGCCAGCCTCATCTGGGCCTGCTCTGTGTATTCTTCAGTGCGTCTGGTTCATTTCATCTCCTTTACTGCCAAACCTGGGGGACTTCACTTGGCCTTCTCTTTGTAATGACCAGGGTATGAAGGTATATGCTGCATCAAACTTTACATTGTCTTTATTTATTTATTTATAAAAGATTTTATTTACTTATTTTTAGAGAGAAGGGAAGGGAGAAAGAGAGAGAAATATCAATATGTGGTTGCCTCTTGTACATCCCCCACTGGGGGCCTGGCCTGCAACCTAGGCATGTGCCGTGACTGGGAATCGAACCAGTTACTCTTTGGTTTGCAGGCCAGTGCTCAATCCACTGAGCCACACTAGCGAGGGCTGTCTTTCTTTTTTCTTTTCTCTTTTCTTTTTTTGTTCTTGATAGATTTCGCATCTTTTTGCCTGGCTGTAAGCAAGAAGTCCTTGATTTCCTTAATTTTGTGAGGCATGGCTGTGAGGTACATGTCTGGTACCTTAGATTATCCCCCCCCCCTCCATTTATTTATCTTATTTTTAAGATTTTATTTATTTTTAGAGAGAAGAGAAGGGAGGGAGAAAGAGAGGGAGAGAAATATCACTGTGTGAGAGACATATCGATCAGTTGCCTGTCACATGCCCCCAACTGAGGTCCTGGCCCGTAATCCAGGCATGTGCCCTGACTGGGAATTGAACTGGTGACCCTCAGGTTTGCAGGCTGGTGCTCAGTATACTGAGCCACACCAGCCAGGGCCCTTTATATTCCAGGCTTATTGGCCTTCTTTAAACTCTCTGAAGGCCTGAGGTTCTTTCGTATCTTAAAGCCATTGCACATGATGTTCTCTTGATTGGAAGCTCTCTTTACTCAGCTCTTTGCTTCCTTAATTCCTACTTAATGTTCATTTATTTAGCAATTATTGAGTCTGTTATGTTGCTCGTTATTTAATTACTAAGTTAAATGTTAATTCCTCACAGAAATGACCCTGTATAAATCAGTCCTATTATAATCCTTTAATGAGCCATTTACTTTTCCCTTATGTTTATTACAGTTTGAATTAATTAGTCATGTGTTTGTTTACTATTTCTCTTCCACTAGAAGGGTTTGTGTGGGTAGAGAATAAGGTTTTAAAAATTCTGGTGTCTCTAATGCCTATTATAGAAAGTGAATGCACATGAGATTCATTCTGATTATTTTAGTTAGTGGTTTTCAAGCTTAACCACAACCCACAATAAAAATTATGCTGTGATCTAA